CCCCCCACCTGCCCCGTCACAACCACAAAACGTCATGATGCTTCTATATATTTTGGTTAATCTCCAAAGGACCACGGGACCTCTCGTTGTTTTGAAATCATTTTCAATGATTCAGGATTCAGCAGTTTACTGCAATGCTCCGCTTCTCAATGCAGGAAAACTGATTGGTGGCATTGGACAGGCAGAAGGGTAACATGAGAGTATTTGGGTTTCACACAATTTCCAGGAAAAATGCAACTTAGTTCTGAGATGGGGGAAGAAAAAACAAACTCCGAGCAGCTCTAAACGTGACGTGGTGGAGGGTAGGGTTAGGGTCCAGAGTGCCCTAGACTGATTAGAAGAATCCCAAGCACTGTTAAAGGCTGGGGACCCACTGGCTAAGCAGCAGTTCAGTAGAAAAGACCCCGGGGATTCCAGTGGATGAGACGCTGGAGACAAGTCAACTGGGCGCCCTTGTAGCCAACAAGACTAACGGCATACTGGGGTGCTTTAGAGGGAGCATTGCCAGCACATTATTCCCCTTTTTTCAGCTCTGGTGAGGTCATGAGTATTGTCCTCAGTTATCCCCCCCCCACTACAGAAAGGATGCGGACGCATTGGAGAGGGTCCAGCGGAGGGCAACAAAGGTGATTTGGGGGCTGGAGCACTTGACCTACAAGGAGAGGCTGAGGGATTTGGACTTATTTAGTCTGCGGCAGAGCAGAGTGAGGGGGGATTTGAGAGCAGCCTGCAACTCCCTGAAGGCTACAAAGAGGCTGGAGAGAAGCTCTTCTCAGTGGTGACAGATGCAGAGCAAGGAGCAATGGGCTCATGCTGCAGTGGGGGAGGTCTAGGTTGGATAGTAGGGAAAACTATTTCACTAGGAGAGTGATGAAGCACTGGAATAGGCTACCTAGCGAGGTGGTAGAATCTGTTATTTCAAAATAATTACTCCCCAGAGTAATTAAAACTAATTACCCCCCCAGTGCGGGGGCTGGACTCGGTGACTCCTGAGGTCTCTGCCAGCCCTGGGATTCCAGGAACACGGGAGACCAAACATCCCTGCTCTCCCAGAGAGGGTTCTGTGGGGTTCAGGGAGGACCAGGCTGCTCCAGGCCATCCGGGGCTGTTGGGCCACGGGGCTCTGAGCAATAGGATTCTGAGCATAGGATTCTATGAAATCATGTGAGAAGTCTTGAAGGGTTCCCAAGGTAACTCCTCACTTGAGGGTTACATTTCCCCGCTACATGAACCCCTCAGCAGGTGTAAGGGAAGTGACACACTCACCGTGCTGGTCCTGGCAGGGTGGTTCCCGGCCGTCCACTGTCTAGCCATGGGTCTGCCAGTAACACCCCATCTCAGGCTTGTCCTGCCGCTCTTCTCCTGCCTCTCCAGCCTCTCTCTGGAGTTGCTGGGTGTCTCTGCAGTTCCTACAGCACAGACGGCTGCTCCTGGCTCCCCCCGGGCAGGCTGGGCCGAGCGGTGAAGAAGCACAGAGGACGGGGGCAGAAATCCCCTCCCTGCTCTGAAACTGCTCCCGGCCGGTGCATGCTGCAAACAGGAGCTCCTCTTGTTCAGGGACTAAATAGCCAACCCCAGTCTCCATGGTGGGGAGATCTCACCCCAGCAGCAAACCGCGAGCTAATCTGCTCCAGCCGTGCCTCAACCCCCCAGGGGAACAGCCCCATGTGCCATGCGATGGCAGTGGCTCTGACAGAGCCAGGCTGAAACCCAAGGGGGAGTGAAGGAAATTGCAGAATGAACTAGGTATGGGGAGCAGAGATGTGACCTGCTGTAGCTCAGAGCCTGGTGTCCCGACAGTCCCAGCTGGCCTGGAGCAGCCTGGTCCTCCCTGAACCCCGCAGAACCCTCTCTGGGAGAGCAGGGATGTTTGCTCTCCTGGAATCCCAGGGCAGACAGAAACCTCAGGAGTCACCGAGTCCAGCCCCCTGCCCAAAGCAGGACCCATCCCGACTCCATCGTCCCAGCTGCCCCAGGTGTTTGATGTGGGTCACACCGAAGCACCCAGAGACAAACACAGTGCCCTAAACTTTTGTTAACTGATACAAAGGTGGTTTGTGGCTCCCTTCTCAGCAGGACGGAGACACCCATCCGCCTGCTTGGTCCAGCTCTCCAGGAGGCTGGCGGCCAGGCGGAAGCCTGTATCTGAGACATCACGGAGGGATTGTTAAAAGGCCCTCTGACCACTACCCTGTGCTGCTCACCGACGTGGGCCCCAGGGACACAGCGAGGAA